ATTTTGCAACATAACCATTGGCTATTCAAATATTTCCAAAATATTCTATTGTATACCTGGAGAGGTGGTTTAGCTTGACTTGAAGAGAGTGATGGCATCTATTTCCTCAGAAGCCAGGGTCATCAAATTTCCCTGGGACAAACAGACTTGTATGATCTCTCCAGGGACCCAGAAGCCCTTTGGGTGTTGTATTTAGACTTTTTTGGAAGTATCATCAAATGTTGCTATTCATATAGTCATCTTAGTGTACGTGTGTTCAGAGGTTATTTTAAAAGCACAGTGTTGGTGGTGTATGCTTTTAATCTCATCACTCTGGGAGGCTAAGGCAGGTGGATTGCAAGTTCAAGCCCAGTTTGGGCAACATAGTAACCTTAGTGAGAGCCTGTCTCAAAATGTGAAAGAAAACAAAACAAACAAACAAAAAAATGAAGCTAAGTGCAAAGACCTCGGGTTCAATTCCCAGTTTAAAAAAAAGAAATAAAAGAAAAAGATGAAAAATATCCACAGATTCATTCCTGACTTCTGCGTAAGCAGATATTTTATAGTAAAGAAATAGTCTATGAAACTTATGGGTGAGTATAATTTAGATAAAGTACTGAAATTCTAAATGTTAAATGGAAACATTTAAAGTTCATGAAAGTTTAGGAATCCTATTTTAGATTTTTGAGGAGATTTAAATATACTTTTTGCTTAAAAAAAATACAAGTGACCTAAGCCTGGACATCTGAAAGGTTCTGCTAACAGGGAGTTAGAAAATTATTAAACTTGACTTCTCCGTTCTGAATTTGACATATGGCTTTTGGGGGGTAATATTTAACTTTATCTTCTTTTACTCCTTATTTTTTTATCCTGTAAATTGAAGTGAATAATTGCAGGATGTTGAAAAATGGTACTACTCATAGCATAACTAAGCTTTCACCACCCTATAAGTGGTGCAGAGAATACAGCACACAAGTGTATAAATGCTCCTCTCACCCTTGGAATGACGCAGAACTCTGCTATTTGAATAATCTAGAAATATTTCTCTATGAATTTCTGTATTTTTCTTTTCTGCAAAAATCAATGTTTAGAAAGAGATAAAATGAAGAATCTGAAGTGACAAAGCTGTAATATTAAAAGAAAAAGATCACAAGATTATGTTAATACTCCAAGCCTGGAAACCAAAAGACACAGGACAAATCCTATATCTAAAAAAGTAATTAAAATGCTGCTCAGGCAAAATCCACTTGCAGTTCTGCTAGTGTCTTCCACGTTTTAGGAAAAACTTGGTAGTTCAGATAGATATTTACCACTAATGCTATAAAGATAATTAGATTAATGTTAAATATTGTCCATATTTGGAAGCACAAATATTTGTTGTAGAATGGGAACAGAGATGAGATTTTGGGACATGAGGTACTAGGGGGAAAAACAGTCTAACCACAAACCATTGCCTTAGTTATTTGTAGTTGTTTAAGTTTGCCAAATACATCTTCATGTGTGTATATTTAATTTATTAGGCTATACTGGTTGTTGAATTTACGAATCTAAGAGCTAAAAGTGAATTTGAAAAAAGGGAATAAGGCATCATAAATATAGTAGAGAAGAGTTTAAAAGAAATAGAAGCAAGAAAAACAAAAGAATGTAGTGAAGACAAAGAAGAAAGTACAAAAGCAAAGGCAGTACAAAATTATTAAAATTTAAACAACTTAGTTTCTTAGTCGCTACTCTTTCCCAGTATCTTCTTTCAGTTTGGCTATAATCAGATGCTATTTACAAATATTATTTTGTCCAATGGCTAAAATTAGAAATTTGATTACAGTCAAGGGGAGAATGAAAGGTTTCCAGTAGCATTGGAAAATGCGGTGATGGTCTGACTAAAGTTTTTTTTTTCAATGTTTGCTAATTTTAACTGGGTACACCTGCAACTTTCTCTTTGAGGATATCCGTGAAGGTAGAAATTTGAAACAGGATGATCAGTAATTTTAAATATGGGTGATAAAATTCTAATTCAATTCATATACTCTAAATCACTTTCTTTTGAGTCAACCATTTAGTACTTTCAATAGATAATACTATATTATGGTGTGTATTTTAATACCATTTCTGTATTATTTGAGAACAATAGCCAGAGATTGATGGAAGGGGTGCAGAGATGCATGAGCTACCTCTATATAATCCTCCTCTACGTGGGTGAAGAAAAATGAGTATTTCATTACAAGTTTTTTGTTTATATAAAAATGATCACATAAAATTCATAGTATGTACTGTGAGTTTGTTAATGTGATAAAAAGAAATTACAATACAAGGAAGAATCAAATTCCTGTTGACCTCAATTTAAATTCTCTGCCTTTTCTTCTGCCATCATACTGAGACAGGCAAATGCCACCAGACACAAACTCTCAGCCACCCTCCTCACAACCTTCTTCTCTGTGCCTCCGCCTACATGCCACCTTCTCTTCTTCATCCCTGTCTTCATGGTTTTGTCTTCTTGGAAGCTTTCAAAGGTCCCTCAACATGAAAACCCCGATGCCCTTGGACTTCATGCATTTTCCATTCTGTTTTTTCCATTCTATGCCTCTATTTTGCTTCAGTAAGTTTCAGCTGCAGCCAGGATGGTTTTCTCTCTTGTCAGAATATGCTATTAGTGTGACTGCATTTTCCATCCAGGATGCCTTTCCCTTTCCTCTCTGCCTACTGCAAGCTCACATGGACTGCCAAGGCTCTGCTCGAGGCCCATAAACTCCCTGATACCTTCTTGGATGGCCTCAGCCCCTAGGGATTCTTCATCTGCTGGAGTCCTGGAACACACTGTGCCCTTGGGCTGGCATTAATTATGTTATAGTCTGGAAGCCAAGTTCCTCTTCAAGTGGACACCTCTTAATCCTCAGCCCTCACCCCTGTGCACACTCAAAGACCATGTCTTATATACCTTTTCATGTTGGCACTTAACTTGATCTTTTTATGAACCATCAGTTAAGGTGTATGTTATCTCATTGACCAGACTTGCTTCATTATTCACTACCTGCATAGTTTTCATTTTATTCATTTTTTAAAGGCTGCACATATTTTGTCTGTTACTTCCTTCTACAGTTATACTTGAGCCAAATCAGATCCTGACTGAATCATACTGCATTTAAAAATCAAAACAACAAAAATCTATTGCTCACTGTATGTAAATTCACATTATGGTATGATTTTTAAAAATACTCAGGACACTAAATTATCACATTTAAGTCTGTTTTCCACATGAAAGGAAAGTTACTGTGAATTTTGTCAAGAATACACAATACATTTCATTACTTTTGTCATATCTAAACATTTCTAGTGATTTGGATGCAAAAAAACCACCTAACAACAAACTAGTACTTTAATTATTTGAATTCATTTAATTTTTGCCAAATTAGACTTCCTGTATGTATATTTGATTTTAAAGTCAGTGCCAGAAAAATTTTGTGGTAAGAACTGTGCTATATGTAGAATAAGTTCAAAAGAAACATATGGCTCTCTCAGATGTCTTTTATGTGTGCTTAAATTTAATCTAAGATGCTAATTTGCTACAATTATTTATTATATACTTGAAGATCAGAATTATAAGGAAACTGAGGTTTAAAGTTTTAAGTGAGGTAGAATAATCTGAGTATTTACGTATTTATTTCTTCAATATTTCATATGAAAACATCATAGTATAAAAATTCATATATTGGGGTGCATTCATTCTCATTCAGTGGACAAACTATAATGTGCAATTTTACAATAGAAACATTTAATTTTCTAACAATCATTGTAGTTCTTGGCATAATCTCATGCTCATCTATAAATTTCAAATAGAATGAAACCTTCAATTGGACAGATCACGATTAAGTGTTGGAAAAAACTATTTGAAAAAGAATATGTTAGATTTCCCTGCAATTAAAGGTAGTATGTCTGTTACTATCACTTCCCCCATAGACCATAATAACTCTCACCTGAGAAAAGACAAAGCTACAAACTATAAAAGTGGAGAACACACCAAAAGAAAACTAAAAGTAAATGTACCATCCTAAAGTTAATAGACTAGATGGGCATATTTGTAAAGGAAAAGAGAAATAGATAACCAGACATTTTGTTTAATATTTAATGTATTGCGTCACCTTAAGAATTTCTTAATCAAAGAACAATGTTTAGTTTTTTTAATAGAAATAAGAATTGACATGACTGTTGTAATCTAGCCGTGCTTTTGATTGGTTATCAGATTCCTCTTTCCTGTCATAAATACGTACCAGGCAGAGAAACCTGAATTTTAGATTGATTTCTAAGCTGTATTTGTATTCTCGCTTTCAGAAAAATGTCTAATTAATACATTTTCATAGCAGAATAAATTATTTAACAGCACTTTTTCTTTCACATGTGGTGAACTAAGGCACTTTTTTTGCAAGGGAAACAATATGTCCATTTAGAAATCCTTTATAAAAGATCAAATAGCCTTTTGTGTGCTGTGCATATTGCTTTAGAGTGGCAGCAGTAGCTGACAGTGGCCTATGATTTACAGCTGCCAAATATTTTGAGTAAGTTGGTACCATTTGGGAATGTTTGTCATTCTGTAAAAATTCTTTTCAGCGGGTCAGCAATTCAATACAGTGTAATCAGTATTTTCAATGTGCTCTGATTCTAATATTTAATCTGACCCCATAACTATTATTATTGGCTTTACTTTGAGTTAAATTCACAAACATTCTGAAAAAAATTAACATTATGTCTACCCATCAATCAACCTACAGAATTTTCATGAAGTAGAATACCAAAATAAAACTTTCTGTGAGTATTTTATGGAATAAAAGCCAAAATTCTAAAAGCAAATAGAAATTGGTGTAACCAGTGTTTAACCCAAGCATACAACAGTAAACTGAGTTGGCTTCTCTTTTTTTTAAGGAAAAAAAAAAAAGCTGACGCAAGTTAGACAAAAGGAGGGGCTGTGGCAAGGTGATGAAGTTGATTGGCTTGTCAAATTCACTCCCACTGGTCTTTAAATCACTGTCTAGAACTCCAGAGTTTCAAAAAAGTCAACTGTGTGACAGGGGTCTGCCATTCCAAACAGGCAGGAAAGACTGCACAGGCCTGGATAAATAAGTAAGGTATATGTTTTTACATAAATGTTTCTAGGGTTAAAATAGTGTTTTCTTTCTCCTTTTTATTGTGCTGATTGTTTATTCATTAAAAATTAAAATGTGTGAAAATACTACTTTTCTCATTTTAGAAAAGATTAACTCAACATACTGTCAAACTTTGTAATTATTTACCTAGATCCTGATTGGAATTTTCTTTTGCTGATAATGTGAGATTTGAGCACAAAATTGGAATAGTGAGTAATAGGAAAAGGAAACATTGCAAAAAGACCAGTTAGCAAGTATTGCGTTGTTGCTGTTGTCGTATTGGCCATTAAATGTAATAAAAATTAACATAATTTGTCTTAGAAAAAAATGTAAAATTGTAGAAGCATAATCTTTTTTTTTTTTTTTGTCTGTACCTGGGATTGAACTCTGGACCTTGTGTTTGTGAGGCAGATGGTGGTACCACTAAGCTAAATCCCCAGGCCAGTAGAAGCATAATCATAATGTTACATTATTAAAGATGTTTCTGTGTCTTGAAAACAAAATACAAAGTCCACAAAAATTTAATCAAAGAAGAAATATCACATGCATGCAGCAGGTGTGAATGGCTAAGCAAACCCTTTCCATTCTTACTAAAGAAAAAGAAAAAGAGTTATGTCTTATCTTTTCCTCTTAATTTGACCATTTTAAAGAAGCAAAGTTATTAGAAGCAATAGAAGAATTCAATGGAATGCAAACAGCTTTAAGAGGATGGAATCAGTTATCTAAAAGTAGAGCTGTTCTTTTCAAATCAAACAGAATAATTCCCAGTGGATTTAAATATCCTTATGTTTTGAACATAACATAGAATATATGGTGGTAAACTAGTTTTTAAATTTAAATTTTATTTTCATAATTTAGACATACACAATGATCACATTGATCATAGGGAATTTGCACCTGTACATGTATTTACATACATGTGTCCAATTTGTTTCACTTAAGAGTATAGCTTCAAAGTGCATCCTTGTAGCTATAAATGTCTCAAGTTTATCCTTGTTTATGGCTGAGTAGTACTCTATTGTATAGAAAAACCACATCTTTTTATCCATTCATCAGTTGATGGGCATTTGGGTTGTTTCCAAGATTTAGCTGTTGCAAACCATGTCACCATAAACATGGGTTCCCATATATTAATGTGGCATGATGTTTTTAATTCTTTCAGGGAGATACCTAGATGGGGAATACTGGGTCTAATGGTACCTCTAGTACTAGTTTTTTGAGGGATCTCCACACTGATTTTCACAATGGTTGCACCAGTCTGCACTCCCACAACCATAGAGAAGGCTTCCTTTTTCCTCACAGCCCGATCAGCATTTGTTGTTGGTTGATTTCTTGATATTAGCCATTCTTTCTAGAGTAAGATGGCATCTCAACACTGTTTTCATTTGCATCTCTCAAATGACCAGTGATGTTAAACATTTTTATATATTTATTTGCCACTTGTACTTCTTCATCTGGGTAGGGGAATGAAGAAAAAATTAAGAACCAAGATGAATTATGTAAAGGTGAAAATTCCCGATGATGAATGTCACCATATTGTATACTTTTTTAAAAATTAAGTTCATTGGTATATTTTAGGTATACAATTAAAAGTTAAAAGTTTCATAACCAGTGGAAAATATTTGAACTAAGGAAATATATCCATGAATAATGGACTGCAAAGAAATTCAAGTTTGACAAAATAAAGAAATTTAGGTGTGTTTTGTAAAAAAAAAAGAATGATGGCCATTTATTTTATAGGTCAAGATCCTCTGGTTCCAATACATATTTAAATAGTGTTCTGGGACTTTTCTTGATTGTAATTCTATTTACACACCCAAGAAGTGCATCAGCAACATTAAAGTTCTGAAAAATGTAGTTTTGATGGCTAAGCTATAGTTTTCTTTAACCGTGTTATATAATATGTGGTTATTTAAGTGATTTTTTTAAAAATATATGAGTTACTTTAGGGAAAATAATAATAATTTATTTTTGAATAAAGAAGTAAATACTTCTGGGATGGCCTAGTATCAGTAATATAGAATGTAGGCATTTTAGAATTTAGTGCACCCACAATTCACGTCAGGTTATTAAGTATCATGTGCTAAAATGTACACCATAAAGAGTTCACTATGGTAATATCATATATGTTACACATCCCTGTGCATTCTGCGCACTACTCTGGAAATGTAAACTAAAATGTATTTGGAATTCTATGTTTAAGATGACTAGAGAAGCTATGTCTTCTAAAAGCAAAGTTTAAAAGGCTGTAAGGAAAAGAACATATCCGAACTTTATGAATTGTCCTTTCAACTTTATACATGATTGCTTCAATTTCTATATTAACAAGCATGTAATATTTTTAGTAAAAAGAAAAGACCCCATATAGAGTTATTTATTGGAACTTTTCTAGTTCTTCCTAGATGTTATTTCTAAGCTACATCTGACTAAAGGAATGGAAACGCTAAAATATTTCCATCTACAATAGGAAATGGTCAAGTAAATATGGTTATCTTGCTATTGTCAGATTCTTTTCTGAGAGGTCCCTCACACTGCATGTCTCTTTGGAAGCTAATTTCCGAGATGCCACAGACTAAGAGACTTACTATCAAAGTGTGCTAAGAATGGTATAATTGGGGGAAATTAAGAGAATTTAAAATAAAGGTCATAATAGATTTGTTCTATTGTCAAAGCTATACTCATTTACCTGAAGCACATTTAAATCAGTTCTTTGGATATGAGATGACTGGGATTTTTGAAGTTGCATGGCCAGCTGCTATTTACATTTTCCCCAAAGGGGAAATGCCACGTCAGGCTGTTTGTTCCCTAAACCTGGATTTCAGAGTAACTGGGCTGGTAGGAAGACCAGACCAACAGTGACAGTAGGAAATCTACTCTTGATAATGCTAGGTCCCTTTCCCTTTGCACTTATCAGGTAAAATAAATGTTTGCAGTACCTCCAGAAGATCACAACTTGACTTAGGGTAGTTTTATTAACCAGACCTGATGTCTTTGAAGGTGAACCACATATGTAAAATTTGAGAAATTTGCTGTTTTGAGAATCTCGCATTCTGTGCTTATTAACTAACCATTCAAAGAACAAGACATTAAAATGTTTAATTGCTAAGATTTCTACATAAGGAATCAGCTAATTAGTATAGTTATATATTTCTTACTAAGTGTGATGAAACTAGAAATCTTCTAATGTGATAGCAGTCTTCAGTTCAAGTGGTGCTGCACCTGCCTCACAAGCGCAAGATCTTAAGTTCGATCCCTGGTACGAAAAAAGAAAAATGTGGAGAAAAGCATTCCAGTGGAGAAAAACATTCCCCTGAGTGGAGATGGGGACTCAGCAGATGAGCACAGCTGTGATTCCATATGGGGCCAGATGTCTGGGTGAAAGTCTTCAGAGCCTTGCAGCATACTAGGATCTTTGACTTTACCCTAAAAGCTATGAGAAAATCACTCCAAGGCTATTAGTAATTCACTTGTTTGAAATAGCAGTGGTTATGGAGACAGGTTGGTAAATTTTAAGTAAAAGTTGAAAGAAGAACTGCTAGGATTCAGTGATAGGTTGGACCTGAGTAGGGTGTAGACTGTAGAGAATGAGAGATACCAAGGCTCATGGCCAGATTCCTCAAAGGAGCAGGTGGGTGAAGGAGGCACCATGCATGAGATAGGGGTGAGCGTAGGAGTTGATGTCTATGAAAGCTGTATTTCCAATCACAATGTTTCCCAGCATCGTTCTTTTCTGTCCTGCCCATGCAGTGAATCATTGGTTAGTTCAGTAGTTTATCCAGAGGGGGTAAAAAAATCAAAGATGTTAATATACTGTACTGTCAGTTTCTTTCGAAGCCCATCTGTTCTTCCAGGATGAGTTTGGGTACAAGGATTCTGTCTTACTCATTTTTGGGGACTTTTCCTGGCTCATGTTTCATTCTCAGTATTTATTGAATGAATGAATAAATAAACACCATCTGCGAAATACTTCCATAGTGGATCACACTCATGTAAATAACCAGTGATTACATTTTAGCAATTTTGGTGTACTTTAAATAGTTCAAAGTGTGTGCTTTTTGCTTCAGGCAAATGATTCTGGTTATTTCAGTTCTCATTAGGTTTTAGTGCTTTTAGAATTGTAATTTTGGGCACTATTTCTTTAAAATAGATCAGTAATAGAATATTCATAGCTGAAGATATGAGCTATGAAAATGCATTTCAATTTTTTAGAGATCTTCCTTAGCCAGAGCCAAAATTAGGGTGAGTGGCTGCGATCTCACACTGCTAATTTCCCAGGAATTATCACCTTCAAAAGAGAATGGCATGAATGCTTCACATAAGGTAAAAATAACATAAAATTGGGTCTTTATTTCTGTATTTGTGAAAGGGAATTTACCTTGCTTACAGTGTTTGCAAGAGTTTTGAGAACTATAAAGCCTTTTAGAAGTGTCTAAGGTAAACAAAGAATATGAAATACTAAATATGCTTATGTGCAGATAGAGACATCAATACCATTCTGATTATTGGAGAAGGAAAAAAAGGGTTAAAGGGTTCACTTTATTGATGGCCAAACTGGCATGCATAATATTGTTTGAACACACAGAGTACTACTTTTGTGGTAAATTATATTTATTCTCATTTTGCAGCAGATGGAAAATCAAAAGTTAGGTAATTTGGCCAGGACTTATACCTCATTCTGTTTTTCCTCAAAGCCAGAGTTTCTGTTCTCTCTCCAGGTTTTAGTTGTTTGTGGTACACACATCTATGCAGAGGTGGCAGAGCATGGCAGCCACTTAACCTGTGTCTCCGTAAGAACAAATAATTAGTAGAAATTAAAAACCTGATTGAGAAGAGTAGCTCCTTGGTTAATTAGGATGAAAAGCAAAATGGGAGATAAATTTGTTATTTTGGATGTAGTAGGGAGGAATTACCCTGATGATGGGTCAATAAAATAGAAATAAAAGATAAAGATGCTCAACTTATGATGGAATTACACTATTAGACTCATCTTTGAAAATATTATTAAGTTGAAGATTCATTAATACACCTAATTATTGTGCTATTCAGCTTTCAATTTCTGTGACAAAATACCTGAGATCATCCACTTGGAGGAAAGGTTAATTTTTAATTTTGGCTCTCAGCGTCAGAGGTTCAGACCATGGTGGCTTGGCCCTATTGCTTTAGACCTGTGGTTGCATAGTACCTCAGGGCGGCGGCACATGGCAAGAGGAGACCTTTTCACCTCATGTTGGCCAGGAAGCAAAAAGGAAGCAAAGAGTGTCCAGAGTGCCAGTATCCCTTGTACATGCTGCCCCCTTTGACCTAACTCCCTTCTGCCGGTACATCAACTAAAGGTTCACCACCTCTCAACAGTATCATGGAAAAGGGTCAAGTCTTCAACCCAGTGGCCTTTGGATGATATTCAAGATACAAACCATAACACTTACTGAACAGTGTGGTACCCTGGGAAGTAGTGTTGTTTGCCCTCATGATTGTGTGGCTGAATGTGAACTATGCCTCACTCTCACTGCCCAGTGTCTTAAGAGAATGTCTATGAATCATTAGTTTGGGAAAAGATTAAAATAAAAGCCCATTTTTTCCTGAATGTATATCAATTTTGCATCATTATAAAGTCAAAGATGTTGGAAGTTCAACCATCATAAGTCAGGGACCGTATGTAAAAAGCAAAATTTTAACAAATTGATCAAGAGGTCAAATACCAATTAATAAAAGCTTTGGAAAAATAAATTATAGGGAAGAAATAATTTTTTAAAACAATAAACATTTTTCTGATCTGAAGAAAACCAGAAGCCTTCTGATTACATAAGCACTCCATATCACGAGTAAGAGGAATTTTAAAAGTTACTTGTATCCAGTTGAATTATGGTGAATTTTCAGATAAGAAATAAATTCCTAAAACCCTTCAGAAAATAATATATCATCTATAAAGAAATGAGAGCCATACTCATCAGAACAAGCTAGTAGTTAAGGGAGAAATATCTTCTCAAAATTCTAAGGGGAAATGATTCTGAATCTAAAATTCAAATGTCAATGAATTTTGAAGGCACAATAAAGACACTGCTACATGTAACAACTTGAAAATTCAGCTAAAAAACATAGACACACTTTGTAAAAGTGGTTCCTTGTGGTATTTTAGCACAATGCAAAATGAATTGGAGAAGGAAGATGGAAGAGCATTCAAGAAACACTGGTAGTTGAACAAGGTCCAGAAGTTAGAGGAAGAAACCATTCAGAAAGCAGAAGCATGCAAACTTTGCCTTCACATTTTTTGGTACTATGGGATTCAGTTTCCCTTATTATGTAGTCAAGTACACCACATGGTTCTTTGGGGCCATATTGTTTACACAATCATAATGGAAACTTTGATTATTGGTTATCTATGTTTAGAAGTGATCAATAGACAGTGACAGATTTAATTGTTTTGTACAACAGGATAAAATGTTTTAATCCTTAACCTATAAACATATTTCATTAAAATAATTAGGAGACTGGGGAAGATAGGACAGAAAGATAAGTGATGATTCCCTTTGCTTTCATAACTACCAGCCTAGAATTGATAAAACAGGCAGAGAGGGTTTAGTGAATTTTTAAAATTGAGAATGGCTAACTTTAAGAATTGAGAACAGTAACTGTAATTAGTAGCTGCCGCTGGAAACTGAGACTGGGAAATTTTGGGGAAATTCTTTACCATTATCATTTACTGTTTTGTCTCTCTCTACCCTCATAATCCTGTCATATTAAAATGACCCTTAGACTGTGATTATGCTCCTTATTCTTTCTCCCATATCTGTTTATAGCTTTATGTTTTCTTTTTTATCTCTTTGTGCTATAAGTTGACTGATTTCCATAGATATTTTAGTTTCATAACTTTTCTGATAAGTGAGTTTTCCTTGTTTTGGTACCTATTTTGCAAGTATTCCTCTTTTTTTCTTTTCTCTTTTTTGTATCAGGGATCGAACTCAGGACCTTGTACTTGCGTTTCTGTTCTTTTACAAGATAAACTTTTCTTCTTCTGCAATGCAGTTAGAAATTCTAGGGATGCTATTTTATGACTTTTTGTTATGTTAATTTAAAATTATCTTTTGAATGGCTTCATTATTTGTGATTGTCCTTTTTTTTTCCTACTAAGATTCATGCTTCTGAATTTCTATGTGTGTTTTGTAATTTGGGGCTGTGAACCCACCCCAGGAGTGAACTGGATTCCACTGGTGTGCTCCCATGGCACTGTATTGTAGAAATTTCCATGTGGTAGTTTTATGTTTGTCAGTGGATATGGATCTTACGAGTTCTGGAGTAATTTTTAATGATAGTTTCTCTGCTTAACATTTTCTTATCAAACGGGTAGTGCATGTTTCAGAACCACTCCTTTCAAGAGTATTCATGTTTCTCCCAATATTACTGCTCAAGACAAACTAAATGATTATAAAGCTTAAAAAGTAGGCAAACAACATATAATATATTCGTGGCATTTTTTTGAACCAATACAAAGCCAGTTCACTTCTTTTCATTCTACAGTTGAGGTAAGTGAAGTCCAACAAAGTTAAATGACTTGTGATGAGATCCAGAGAATTAAAGCAGAGCTGCAACAAAGGATCTCTTTGTAGTTAAGATAACATTTTTAACTTGCTATCAACAGTGACTGGTTCAGATTCAAAGGTAGATCTGTGCTGTTACTATTCTTAACTTTGACTTCAGGATCTCAGCATCTAGAAAGTGGCTTCCTAATCTTGACTCTACCCTGGGTTGCACATTATCAAACATTTTGCTGATTTTAATTCTTTTACACACAATTAAATTGAGATGGTAATTTTCTTTCTAGTTATTGCTGGGAGATATACTTAGCAGATCTTCTTTTGCCAACAGTTTACATTTGGCTCCCCTTCTTTTAAACCATGCAGTCTGCTTACAAATACCTAAATATTTATGATGACTCCTGCCACGTCTTAAGACTTTTTCCTCTCATAGTAACTACCAAAGCACCTGCCATGCTCATTCTGCATAAGCACTTTATAAAATACCTACTGGATTAGCAACGATTAGTAATTTTTCATCTTCTCTTCCGGTTTTCATTTATTGTGTTTCATAAAGGAAACATTTATGATGTATTTATGTAAAATTTTCAGGAGTTTACTTCCTTTCTGTGTTTTACAGAAAGTGTACACAAAATAGATGGTTCATATTCATTTATCTAATTTAAAGAAAATTATAATGATTTATTTGTGTTTTGTTTGCAGAACAGAGTGTTCTGAACACCAACATAAGTGGAAAAGCCTTAAGCCAAAGGTGCAGTACATTGTTTACACTGAAGGACCGCGTGTGTGGACAAGAAAGCGCTGACAGGTCAAATGGACCCCATGGAACTGAGAAATGTCAACATTGAACCTGACAATGAGAGCAGCAGTGGAGAAAGTATTCAAGATAGCTACACGGGGATGGGGAATTCAGGAAAGGCAGCCATGAGCAGGTATGGGCTTAAAAATTACCAGGTTCCACAGAAAAATGAGACAGGCTTTTGGAAATGGAAAACAAGGATCTTGTTGGTTTTTTAAAGATAAATTTGAGGTAACAGTGACATTGATGTTAACACAATTTCCTGATCCTGAAATACAGTCATAATGTCAGACTTTGTGTGACTAATCTAGAAGTGAGATTACAATGCCATTGTGGCATTATAGTGTGACTTAACTGCAGTCGTATTAGCTTATCACTTCTCTTGCTTTTGCCTTCTTCTTTCTTAAATTCCTTTTCCTTTTTTTTCTCATTGAGTTTATTGGTACATTTTAGGTATACAGTACAGTTACATTCATTATTGGGATCTTGTACCTTTACATGACAGGTCTTGGTTCTCATTTTTCCTCATACCTTGCCCTCCTTTCACCCCCTCCTCCCTTTCCTATTTGCAAAAACTTTACTTCCAGTTTTTCATTTTCTCATACTTTTTTCTTTTCCCTTGTTTCCTTTCCCTTACCCTTCCCACTTCCCCCAATTCCTCTTCCTTTGATTGCTCTTTCAACGTTGCCATATCTCCAGGGATCTACAGTGATTCTTTTCACCGTACAAGTATCCTCTGAGGAAGTTCATTCGTAACTATCATGGGGTCACCACTGATATGACATGTCCTCTGCCTGTAAAACTTTCCTACTGAGTTTCAGATCATTATATCTAACTTTCTATTACACATCTTCACTGGCCAACTGGTGTGCCTGAATTGCCTCATTTCTAAAGTCAAACTTGCAGTGTCTGCTATTGAGTTCCTATCATTCTTTTCAAAACTTGCTCCTTCCAAACTAACTCCATCCTTGTGAAAAGTATCAATCTCATTCAACAGTGCAATTAAAATACCCATCCTTTCCTGCAACCCACAGAGCCAATGGCTGCCTGTATCCAGTTGGCTCTCCCTTATTAATATTTCAAATCAAACTCTTGTCATTATCCATTCTCTTGCCATCTTTTATTAGATCTCCAACCTCTTTCACTTGTCTGTGAGAACAAACCCAATTTGCCTACCTCTCTTACATTTTGCTTTCTTCTGTCTTATGCTGCCCTTTTACAAGACTAATCTTTTACAGTAGAAAATTAGAGCATGTTCCATCCTTGAATGAAATCTTTCTCTGACTCCGCATTAGCTGTTACACACATATTACACGATTCATTGCCATATAAGACTCTTCTTGTCCTGTCTCTTATCCTGCTCCTTTTTGTACCCTCCTGCCATCACTCATTCTGCTGCATCTGCCTGGAGTCACCCATTGTTTTCCCCTTTGTCTCCCTTGATCCCTTTCATCTTTTAAGAATCAGCTCAATGTCAAATATCTTAGCAAGGCTTCTCCGAATGCCTCTACTTCCCCAGGTAGAAGTGACCACCATTCCTTTGTGCTCCCTCTCTCTATCCAGGTGTTAATCATACCAGTGTCATAGATTGATGGCCTCTGCCTCCCACCACATATTACATATCATATTTGCCTGGTGAGTAGCAGAGGCATCATAGTTATTTGATAAGTAATTTAATTTCCCATATAACATTATAAGCACAAATTATATACAATTAAAGATGTTCAAAAAGGAATTTTTGACCAAAACTGAGCTTGAGGTACAGAATATTACCCTCAGAAAAGGACTTTTCATTTCATTTACATAATCTAGAAAGGGCCACCAGGGTGAAGCACTTTTTCCTCCAAGTAGCTCTGTGCAGTGAACTTGAAGGTTGCTGAGGACATTGAGATGTAACCAAGGCAGTTTCTATACTGGGTTACTTTTAAGGAAACAGTGTGAAGGAACACAGGGCACTGAAGTCTGCAGAGTAGTTGCTTGACTTTGGAAAATGGGTATCTTCTTCGAGCTTCAATGCAAAATGTAAAATGGCAAACCCACATCTACTTTTCTAAGGATTAAACAAGCACATGAAACACAGAAGATACTCAATAAATTCTTGTTCAAACGGATCCAAATCTAAGGAATCTTTTGATTCTGAAAGAAATGCACACAAATATGAACTCTGAAGAGGTTGGCTGAGTTGATGGGAACACTGCCCCAAGCACAGTCCTTGAGCGATTACATTTGGCCCTACAAAAGCCATATTGGAAAAGCAACAATGCTTATTAAGCTTTGTACAGTGTCCTCTGGACTACTCAGAATGACTTGCCTTTAAACTGCTGGCTCAAACACAGGTCATCATTTCAGAATTTATAATCACTTCTAAAAGATGGTTTTCATTTATGTTTAGTTTGGGATGAACCTCAAATGTATATTTTTTGAGAAATTCAACATACTGTATTTATTTGGGATCATTTTACTTATGTTTTTAATACATTATGGGTTTGGTATCAAAACATTTAACACACTGAGGATATTTCTCATGTTTTATACAATTTTGGCATGTTTTAGGGCTGTAACTCTTCTACACCAAAATAAGAATATGCAGATGCCTCACAAAAAAGATAATCTGTTTACTTTCAAATTCAAGCTTTCAAAAATCATGCAAGGAGTAAAAATTCCAGTTTATTGATTACAGGGAAAAGTAGAGTGTTGGCTATCCCCGAGTTTAAATTCCTCTTCTAAGTGTTAGTCCCATTTTATCCAACTGTCTGTTTCCAACTTTGGACATTACGTACCAGCCTTCAACATAGCAAGTATATTAACAACAGATGATTAAAGTAAATCACAAAAGGGGGGGGTATGGGAATGGAAGAAGTCAACAAGTGAGGGCACTGAAGCTTCCTCTGAGAAATGGGGAGAATGCTAGAAAATCTTCTTGTCCATACAGAGCTGTTTACTCCTTGAGTTCTAGAAAAGCACATCAAACTTTGTGGTTCTGTCTGCTCTTTCCGTCTACATGTTGTATTGCTATCTAATCCCAAAGATCAACCCTGCTACCCCTCTTCCTTACCAGTTTTATTTTCAGCATTAGCTCCTGCTAAGAAAGATAACTTACACAGATTTTCTATAATAGGTCTTTTCCACTTTACTTCTATGGGGTTTTTGTTTTTTTTTTCCAAAGAACTCTCTTTATTTTACTCTTCAATGCAGGAAGTACCCTAAAAATTCCAATGCAGATAATTACAAAGCACTTTGAAGAAATATCCATAGTTGAGCATTTTCTATAACAGCAGCAAAAAAGCTTGTGTGGTATTTTGGTGAGTAAAAGCACAATGTTGTTCACTGGTGTCATCTGCCAGCCTTTTGGAAATGCGACTGCCCTTCAGTGCACAGCCTCCACGTCCCCGGCATGTAATTGCAGGAGTTGACCAGCATGATAAAGGGGCAGCATTAGGACCATTTTGGGCATCTTTCAGCCTGTGCCCAAGGAGACAATGATTACCATGTGGTGTGGATAGTGACATTTTAAAGTCCCATCCTCCCCCAACTCATTTACCAACTAATTGGGTTTCTTTAATAATTTTCTTAGTTTAATCCACTATCTAATAACCCATGAGTATCTTCAAGGTAATGCACACACACACACACACACACACACACACACAAAGCTACCAGTTAACTGTTTTCCTCTAAGGAATAAGAGGAAATACCAGTACACGGCCGTGCCTGGGACTGTCTCATGCATGGAAGATCATGGGCGTGGAGCCTGGCAGCCATAGTTGTTTCGTCTTTAGAGAAGGAATGTGAATGTTCCCCTTATAAGGATATATTTGGGTAGGAAATGAGGTGAGAATCACATAGGAATTCATAAAAAATTGATGCTGGCATGGAAGTAGTGTAAAAAACTCAGAATCATGGCCCTGTACCCTTTCTTAGGAAGGGCTCTAAGTGGGAACAAATTAGTTCCAATTATTCTCTTCCTTGCATTGTTTCTTTAGAGAAGAAGAAATGTGTCACAATCAATTTTCAACTGCAAATACTATTTACTTCCTTTATAGCATCCTCCCCAAAGTTTATTTATAAATGGAGCTCAGTTTTTTGTCTGAAAGAAACACTAGTGTGAAGAAGGAGGACAAAAAAATGTTTTAGGTGTTTTCTCCCTTAACTTGGTTTTTGCTCCCGTAATTGAGCTACTTAGGTCACCTGAAACACAAATATAATTTAGAGCCTTTATTTAGATGCTTTTACTGTCTAATTTTCTCTTTATGTGTGTTTAGTGAGTTTGTTAATGAAGATGCTGAAAGCCAGAAGTTTCTGACAACTGGATTTTTGGGGAAAAAGAAGCTGGCAGATTACGATGATGAGCATGTAAGTGAATCTCTGTTGTCAGGCAGCGGATAGACGGAAGGTGTCTGATCCACGTGGGTCTCTGTGGGAAAACAGTGTGACTGAAATTTTCCAAGCCTTGATCAGCACATTCTCTGTTTATTCAGCTCCTTACTGGAATAAGGGCTTGTTTTTCCTGTTCGCCATATGGCTGCATAAATCATTTATGAAATTTATTTGTTTTTTGAGAAATCATTCTAACCCAAAAGCAGTCTGCAGTCATACATGTTTGACCTTCTTTATATTGCCCACCTGTATGTTTTTTTTGTGTGTCTGTTTTTATGGAGATCTATGCTGAAATTAAGCTCTACATTCCATTAAAAAATTACATGCTATTATTGAAAGTGCGTAACGACTTTTACTTGCTATGATTTTATCTTAGCCTTCAATTTCTGGACTGTAATCTCATTCAGGAGAGATAATATGAGCATAAGAATAACCCAAAATAAGACTGGGCTTTTGGCAAGTGTTTGCTTATAATGTGTCCCTGTTCTTCAAGCATCCTGGAACCACTTCCTTTGGAATGTCTTCATTTAACCTGAGCAATGCCATCATGGGCAGTGGGATCTTAGGCTTATCCTATGCCATGGCCAACACTGGAATCATACTTTTTATGTAAGTGAATACACATATCTACATTTGGAGATGAAGTGCATGTGTATATAACCTGATGCTCTTTCAATGAACAGTCTAAGAGTGATTTTGTGACCAGGAAGAATTTAAGAATGTATTAGCCAATCTTCTTCCTTTTAGGTAAAAGAGAAAGCTGAAGAATAACCATAGCATTCTAATAATAACACTTCTTCAACCAGCTGTCTCTAACCAAATGGCAGAAACTTTATGTCCTCAGCTACCTGGAGTGCTGGAGCAGCCCTTTCTGTTCACAGAAACTATCTTACAAAGTACCTCATTGTTGAACAGATTCTTAAAATAACTCAGAGTTTTATAGTAAAAAAGATCTCTCTCTCCTACATGCAAATCTGATTATAAAATGCTTGGGGAAAACACCCCATCTCAAAGCAGACCTGAGTGCCCTGCATGACCTGGGCCCATTCCCTGTGCCCGTGGGACCTGATGCAATGAGCACACTAGTATCATCCCAAGAAGGTGCCAAATTCCCTCACTGCTGGGCTTTGCACATGGTCTTGGAACCCTCTATCCTTTCTTCTTTATCTAGTTAACTCTTCACAATGCAACTCAGCCTCTCCTTAATGCTGCCTTCTCTTACTTCTATGACTGGGACAAATCTATTATGCACTTACCACAGTGTTAATATTCTAGTGCATTTCCCTGATGCTTTGGCTATCTCCCTTGCTAGAGTATAAGCTCCAGAGAATTTTGTCCGTGTTTTACCACATGGCTGTAACCCTAAGACCTTGCATTGTGTTTGGCACAGGAAATATTTGCTGAGTGACCAAAGCTTAATTCTAACCCTACGTGTTTTCACCAAATTTGGTCAATGCCGCCTGGGTAGAAGCCTCATGGAGCTGACCCATAGGATGGGTATCACATGAACCGTGACGGGCAACTAGATGTGTGTGCATCATGCACAGCCTGGTATTGTCTGAGACATAATCAGCAGCAGTGGAATTCTTCACAGGAATGAAGTCTAATGTTAGGCATTAGCATGAACATAGATCCTGGTGCTGCATGTAATGCTAGACAGTTAAATAAGTGTTTACTGAGGTAATATTTATATGTATGCTATTTATGTTATGAACATCATATATGATTATATAATCCCATAACTATTTGAGGGCTGAGGATCCAGACTATAAGTATTTATCTTACATTAGTGCTTTGATTGAACTCTTTTATGTATAATATTGTTTAATTGAATGGATTTTATATCAACTTTGTTTTTATAAGGCATGCTTGAAATGAACTAGTTTTTAATTCTCTGAATCTTAATAGTTAGAAATGTATTCATACATTTGTATGCTTCTGCAGTGTCTACTGCCTCTAAAACAAAAGACTGACTTCTCCCCATATAATTATATATAACATTACATGTATTAATTATACATAACTAGAAGTTCTCATAGATCACTGATGAATAGAAATGGAAAGCACTTCCCCCATTCCTAGAGCTATAGATCATTATCGTAGGAGGAAAGTGTTCCACTTTTCAAACACAGGCTTCAATTCAGGACTATAAACATTTAGCAGTTTATTTTGGCCAAAGCAACCAAATCACTAAACACAAAGAGTGTATTTTGCATGCTCAAATAGCACAGAAATGATTCAGCTATCTCCCTTAATTCACAATAAGTAACCGTATATTATTGGTTTCTCTTTTAGTATTTTCTGCTGAAGCAAGTACATGTTTAGAATACAGGGAATATTACTATTTTACCAAGGAACAAAATTATGTAATCTAAATTACATGATCTTTAAAAGCAATTACATTTTATAAGGCATATAGAAAAACACATGAATCAATAATTGATCAGAGAGTTCTGGAAGACATTTTCTGGAAAATAGGAGTACAATATAGCTATAGTAGCTGTATAATGTATAATTCATAGTCTAAATCTGCATCCACAGCATTGATTGCATTGGGAATTACCAAAGGATTAGATCAGTTGTGGAGAAGCTGTTTAACTGTGTTCACTTCACACAATATATATATTTTTAAATTTCAAGTAAACTTTTGTGTTGTCCTTCCACTTATTATGTAGATGCTTGTGTCTAATTTCTGGTTTTGCAATCTAATTGTGCTCTAATTGTTGGTCTCCAGTCTCCTTCTTGGTTTTGTGCTCTAATTCTTTGTTTATGGAGAGATACTGATTAGTATAAACATAAACCATACATGCATGTGGACATGTCAAGAGTCCTGACATCAGAAATTATTCTTTCTGAATCCAAAAAAGAGGTATTTCCCTGCCCCCCTTTTCTGCTTTCTCTATTAGACATGCAGTTGCCTGATCCTCTGGAGGACAAAGTAACCTTCTCTTCTAGGGTTAGTAGTAACAGAACTGATGCTACATGCTTTGGTTTTTGAATTCTTAGATTCTAGGTTAAGGCTTACTCCAGTTCTTGAATAGCCCTTCAATTCTAAAAGTTGATGCAAATGTGATGAACATATACCATGCCCAAATGCTGAGTTCAATAGCTGTAGTATTTGATAATCTTACCATACACTTAAATTGTAAGTTATAAAACAGATCCTACAACTGTGACCCTAAAAAGTTAGGAACTTCAGGTAGTGGGTTTACACACGTGAAATACAGAATCAGAGGGAATGTTTGGCATTCTGAAAAGGATTCCTTGGATTAAACTTAAAGCCAAATCCACATACTTTAAAAAAGGTTAGTGATTGAAGAGACCAGTGTGATCCTTTATTGTAACATCTAAAACTATGATGTCTTATTTCTTATAGACATTTTACTTTCTACTCTCTATTCCCTTTACAGAATTATGCTGCTTGCTGTGGCAATATTATCACTCTATTCAGTTCACCTTTTACTAAAGACAGCCAAGGAAGGAGGTATGCTATCCCTTAAGTTCAAGACATTCTACTTTGATTCCATACAAGTGTATTTCAGTCTGTCACTTCATAACCTGAGAATGATTTTAGTCAGTTTCACATTTCCTCTTCATCTAACCTCAGCAACATGGTCTGCCTCACAAGGTTTTTAGTTATTTGGATGAGTGAGAGGCACAAGTGAAAATCAACCTGCTTCAGTTTAAGCCAAATAGAAAAAGAGATGTTTGGTGGATGATATAAATAACTTTTAACTTGCTACATGCAGCTCAGATGAATAAACCCATTGCTTCTTGTCTGGAAAACATATTAATCTATTGCTTATTGATTTTTGAAGTTACATCTTTTGGGTTTATAATTTCTCCATAACATTACTTACATGTTTAAAACTCAAGTATAGGTTTATATGATAGAAATATTTTAGTCATTAAATAATTCTCTAACAAAATTATTTTATCTTTCATTGTAGGGTCATTAATTTATGAAAAATTGGGGGAGAAGGCATTTGGATGGCCTGGAAAAATTGGAGCTTTTATTTCCATTACAATGCAGAACATTGGCGGTAAGGGGATCTAATTTTCAATGGCCCTATAAACTTTCTGGAGAATGGTCAATCAACAAGAAAACTCCATGGCAATAAATAAGTACTTGAAATACAGCCAAATAGCTGCTTTATCATTTTCAAGTTACAGAAATAAAATTTCTTAGATTTGTTGTCATTCTTTAATGAAAATAGCAATATCTTTGAATGTGATAAAATATAAAACCCTCTGAAGTGAATATAAGATAAATGCTTTCTTGATTTCTAATGCTATTATGGCATTAATTGTTATTTTTAAAAACTAAAGCATCAGTGCCTATTACTGGCCATGTATAATGTTTTTACATTATTACTGGCAAGTTGATGTTTCATATTTATGAATGAGCCATGTAATAAAATGGAAAAATAGATAGTTGTGGTGATGAGGGAAGGGGAGGCAAGGCCAAAGGCTGGGGCTCTGTGAGGCACCTGCACAGTGCTATTCCACCAGAGAGGGTCACAGGAAGGTGTGCCAGCAAATATCTGGCCATGTATAAGAATCAGTATAAACCACAGATTGCCTGGTTCTACAGATTCTTGTGATTCCCAGTAAACTGTAATTTCCAGAGCAGAGCCTAGATAATAGTATTTTAAGAGTGCTCTAGATAATGCCCACCAGCTTCATATAGGTTCAGTTGTGTCTTGACCCTCAGAAGGCATCTGGACCCATACTCGAGATAGTCTTCTGGCTGCATCTCCTGCATGGTCCCAACTGTGTCCTCACATAGTAGCACTTTTGTCCTTTTTTCCTACTCAATCCCTCAACCTGCTGTCCAGTCCTCTGTTCTTTTTCTCCCTGTGAACACAACCAGCAGCCCTCCAGAAATCTGGGCATAATCCTAAACTTTTCTCTTCTTCACTGACCTGAACATTCAATCAAATACCAGATTTTATCCACTTGATCTCAAATCTTTTGAGTTTCTCCTCTCCTTTCATCTTCACAGACCACAGTGCAGATGATCAGCCCTTTTAGCCGAGACTATTGCAGTAGTCTTTTTCTTTTTCTTTCTTTTTTTCTTTTTTTTTTTTTTTGGAGACTGGGTCTCACTGTGTAGTTGAGATCGACCTGGAACTCATTATTTAGCCCAGGCTGGTCTCAAACTCACAGCGATCCTCCTGCCTCAGCCTCCCTACTGCTGGGATTACAGGTGTGCCCACGCCCGGCCCTGCAGTAGTCTTCTAATTGTGCTCTCTACCTTGAGTTTTCCCTGCACCCATTTCCAAATCATCCTTCGGATATATTTTCTCAAATTCAAATCCTTCCTGTTTCTCCCATGCATAAAATTCTTCAGCCTGCTCTCATTATTTTTCCAGGCAAAATTTAAATTTATTATCCTGACACAAGCATCTTTGTCACGTTCCTTCGCCTACCATTCTATACCTTTCTTACAAATGTCCATTTCTTATCTCTATCAATTCCATACATAGTGCTATATCAAATCATAACAAAGTATTCAGTCACCCAATAGTACTAGTATTATTCTATTATTTTAAAAAGACCTCCATGCTTTCTTTGTACACACTGTTTTCTGTCTTTGAGTGTCTCCTAAAGACTTCCAGACCTAACATGCTGTAATGTGCATGTGTTCTCCTTCCTTCCTTCCCTCCCTCCCTCTCTCCCTCTCTCTCTCTCTCTCTATATATATATATATATATATAGATAGATAGATAGATAGATAGATATAGATATGTTTATGTAAGTCACCCACAGAAACACTGCTCCATATTTCCTTCAATGCCAGATTTAAAAAATATATTGATATTGTTAAAAATTAGATCACCAGCTAATATAACTTGTGGCTTTTTAAAAATTTAACAATTGGCCTTGAATGTATTTGCATGCTATTCTTTTTAATGGCTTTCAGGTTTTTTATTATGAAGATGTGCTATAATTTGTTTACCAAGTCCTTCCTGGTGAATAGTTGGATTGTTTCTAATTTTATTACAAACAGTGCTGCTGCAGTTTCAAAAAATAGCATAGAGACATTGAAAAGAGAGCAATTTGATAAACTCATTGAAAATTTCTACAATTTTTGGAATGCAGCAACCTTTAATAACCTTTATCTAACTATCCCTGTACCTGATAATGGATAGTTGGTTATCATATAAATGAAATCAAGTCATAGTTGAAGTGAGTTTGTTTTATTTTTGTCTTGTTGGTGTGCATTTTAGGTATTGAACCCTGGGCGTGACACATGCTAAGCATACAGTCTACCACTGAGCCCTAGCCCCCAATTTGTGTTTATTTCTTATTTATTTATTTATTCATATTCTGGAAAGCAAACTCAGGGTCTTGTGCCTGCTGGCAAGTGCTGTATCTTCATATGTTTACATATTAAGACTCCAGAAGATTTTGGTAGTAACCCTGGGGTTGTCACATTCATTTTACTGGATTTTGCTCACAAGCCTGTAAACCTCCTGAATCTCACCAAACAGACTGCTTTACACATAGTTCAAATTTTTAGACTTACCAGGGTTTGAACTATCAAGCATTTCATAGAACCACCTCATACTTGATCAGATTTACTTGTTTCGATAACTGAAATGACCAGATATAAGCATATTTTGCCCTGATACATATCAAGGTGTATAAAGTCAGCAGTACTGGTGGGTCAGGGTAGCCACTGTCATTCTTCTAAAATAGGAATAAACTAGATAGTGGGCTTGGCATCAGGCTATGAATGAGTAAAAAGTGTGACTTTATGGGAGTGAGATGCAATTTCATAATACCAAAATGCTCATTTTGGTTATTTTATATAATATTTTATATAATATAACATTTTATATAATTAGTAAATTTATATAGTTTATATAATAAATTTATATAATTATACTTATCATTATAAATATATATG